CAGCAGACTCCTCCATCTACAGCTGCGTTCTCCGTCGAGAGAAGACCCGCCAGGCTGGTCCGTGCCCCTCAGGTGCGCTATCAGACTCGGTATGTGCCCCCGGGAGCGCCACCAGACCCCCGCTCCCCTCGGAGCCGACGCGTCGACTGCCTCTGACACCTTCCTCTCTCACGTCAAAACGCACACGTGTCCTTGCTGCCGAGCCAGTGTAATTATGAAAGCCGCTTCGGTGCGCGACCCCAAGGGGGGGCCACGCGGCCAACGGTACACCGTTCCCCCATTGTTTATCGGGCCCTGCGTGACCGTGACGCCGGCGCGGCGGCGGCGGAGCGGCCCGGGCCGGGGTGACGGTCACCGGGTGGGGCGTCACGGGTGCCGTCTGCCGACCTCCGCTCGAGGTCCTCCTATTTTGTACACCGAGCACGCGCCGCCATAGGTCAATTAGGCCCGACGCTGGCACGCTATGTAAACAATCGCCGTGATTTATGCCCTACGCCGCCGGTTGTCACTTGTATTCTGGAGATAAAGCGATGCATCCGTTTCTGCACGATGCAAGCGGCTGTCGGCGGCGCCGGGAGAGCCAAACTGAGCTCAGTGCCGCCGGGGAGTAAGTGAGCTCGGCGGAGCTGGCTAGCTGAGCTGGGCGGCACGAGGGAGCTAAACTCAGCAGCGTCGGGGAACTGAGCTCAGCAGACAAGTGGCACTGATCTCGGCGGAGTCGGTAAGCCGAGCTCTCAGCTCGGCAGAGTCGGGGAGCAAAACTCTGTGATCGCCACTGCTGTTACAGCTACTGCTGCTACTGTTGCCGTAGCTGTGGCTGGTGTTACTGGTATTGCTGTAACCACTGATGCTGCCGTAACTACTGCTGGTGAAGCTGGTGGCGATGGTGGTGCATCTGCTACTACAGCTGCTGCTGCTGCGACTGCTGTAACCGTGTCTGACCTGGCGCCGCGGCGGCTGCGGCGCGGCGCTGGCTATCGCGGCGCGGAGCGAGGCCGGTTTTCCGTCATTGGCCAATGGCCGTCCGTGGCACTAACTATAAATCACTGCGTGGTTGGCCGGTGCCTGGTCAGCCATTGTTACCGGCAGCCGCGGCTCGTCTGACCGACACCCGGCAGCCGAACACATACTCACTTAGTACCCGTCCGCCACCGCATTTGCATATTGTGCAGTTTGACACCAGTGATGAATTTCGACCCCAGTTCACAAAAATAATGAAATGGTACGCTGACTTGCAGCAGTTTCAATGTGATACTGATGGGTAATGCTGACTATTCTTTTTTCCGCCATGCATTATCATATTCCTGGTGATCTACATAGTAAGCTTTCAGTTTGCCCAATGTTTGGTGTAGAATGGCAAGGAGAGCGGCAGACAGGATAGCAGGCCGAGAAATCTCTGGAGCCTCCATCGCGCTGACCCCGTTTCGGAATAGTTATATCCAGAAGCGCCACCAGCACCTGTCCGCCACCGACCAGCCAGGCTCCTGAGGGTCTCTGGAGGCGCTACTGGCGCCGTTACCGACCAGCCAGGCTCCTGAGGGTCTCTGGAGACGCTACTGGCTCTGTTACAGACCAGCCAGGCTCCTGAGGTTCTCTGGAGACGCTACTGGCGCCGTTACCGACCAGCCAGGCTCCTGAGGGCCTCTGGAGGCGCTACTGGCGCTGTTACAGACCAGCCAGGCTCCTGAGGGTCTCTGGAGACGCTACTGATGCCGTTACAGACCAGCCAGGCTCCTGAGGGTCTCTGGAGACGCTACTGGTGCCGTTACAGATCAGCCAGGCTCCTGAGGGTCTCTGGAGGCGCTACTGGCGCTGTTACCGAGCAGCCAGGCTCCTGAGGGTCTCTGGAGGCGCTACTGGCGCCGTTACAGACCAGCCAGGCTCCTGATGGTCTCTGGAGGCGCTACTGGCGCCGTTACAGACCAGCCAGGCTCCTGAGGGCCTCTGGAGGCGCTACTGGCGCTGTTACAGACCAGCCAGGCTCCTGAGGGTCTCTGGAGACGCTACTGATGCCGTTACAGACCAGCCAGGCTCCTAAGGGTCTCTGGAGACGCTACTGGTGCCGTTACAGATCAGCCAGGCTCCTGAGGGTCTCTGGAGGCGCTACTGGCGCTGTTACCGAGCAGCCAGGCTCCTGAGGGTCTCTGGAGGCGCTACTGGCGCCGTTACAGACCAGCCAGGCTCCTGATGGTCTCTGGAGGCGCTACTGGCGCCGTTACAGACCAGCCAGGCTCCTGAGGGTCTCTGGAGACGCTACTGGCTCCGCCGCCGCCCGACTTCAGACGCCCGCCGCGCCGCTATCTACCCGCACCAGAGCGGACTCCACCCTCTGCCGACGGGTCCGGCCGTCCCCCCGCCCCCGTCACCCTGTCGGCGACGGAAAATAATTACACCGCCGGTGATGAACAGGCAGTATTGCAATATTCACGTTAGGTAGATTATGCAAATGGTACGCCTTCGCGCTCGGGGCCATCTAGATAAAACTAGAATTGATTTAGAAGAGAACTTGAGATGATGTTTTTCGTACTCCAGCGTAGATGGGTAGCCATACGGCTTCCACGGTTGACAGTGATGACATCAGTCATCCTTTGCAAACTCGTTAAAGATTTGGGCTATACGGGGATTCGAACCCCGGACCTTTGGAATAGCGCTCCAATGCTCTACCTCTGAGCTATATAGACCAAGTACTTTAACGAGCTTTCTGCCAAGTTTTATGCGGATCATTCTTAGGTGTTGTTTTTATCCGCTGGGACTGAGAGCGTGAGATGATGTTTTTCGTACTCCAGCGTAGATGGGTAGCCATACGGCTTCCACGGTTGACAGTGATGACATCAGTCATCCTTTGCAAACTCGTTAAAGATTTGGGCTATACGGGGATTCGAACCCCGGACCTTTGGAATAGCGCTCCAATGCTCTACCTCTGAGCTATATAGACCTGGAGTACGAAAAACATCATCTCACGCTCTCAGTCCCAGCGGATAAAAACAACACCTTAGAAGAGAACTGTTTGATACAACTGGGAACGAAGCTCAGGAAAACACATGCAGCGATTTTGTATGGCCTATGGTGGAGTTCATGAGTTACATGAGTCACATGCACATGCGTTTAGGAACATCGACGGCATCCGCATGATCCACCATACCTTCTGACTGAGTTCGGGTCAGGACCTTGATCAGGACTGCTTCATTGGCTTGGTTACAGTCCCGTGTTTACAACAAAGATGCGTATTAGTTACAAGTGGTGTAGGGTAGCCTGGGGCAAGACGCCCCAGATAATTTATTTTGCTACATAACTTTTGTCCTAAATCACCTGGAAGGCCAAATTTGTGCTCAATGCGTTCTTTGGACATTTTACTTTAAATTCCACCCCTCAAATTCATTCACTTATGATCGGACTCCCAGCTATGAAGTGATTTGTGAAGCAACTGCAAATGGGGCATTTTGCCCCAACCCCAGGGCAAAACGCCCCACGGCCCGGGGCAAGAAGCCCCATACTCTAGATTACAGATTAAACATGCTAGTTGACCAAATCTTATATGAGAGGTCCGTTAGACCTTGGGAGGCACGGCACTGAAGTTAGCACCTTCCATCCTATCAGGTGTTCAGCTATGACACTATTGTATGAGCAGGCTGTTCACCTGCCTCATAAGGCCAAATAATAAATTATTGTCATGCAACTGTCCACCAAATACTTCCTTTGCCATCCGGTTGCTGAGAAAACTACACATAAATGCATAGAAACTTACTGTTTGCCAGCTACCGAACATTAGGAAGTGGGTAGTACGAACAACACATGAGGCAAAACGCCCCATGGGGCTTTTTGCCCCGCGACCTACTGGGGCGTTTTACCCCATCACGTAGTTCGGTCAGAAAACAACGCCTTGCACTCCAGCAAGACATAATTTAACACGAACCAACCCGGCATTATAAGCGTTAGATAATAGTTGTTCAAAATACATAAAAGTCGTTAACCTGAGGTGGACCATAAAAGAACGCCATGATGCATAACCTGACAACAAAACATAAAAATCACTCCAAAAACACATTTTTGGCTATATCTCCCTAAGGAGTCATCACAATTTCTTTCCAGTCTGGTCATATAATGATCATATAGTGCACGTTTTATAGAAGAGAGAATATTTCCCCAGATCCTTGCCAGTTCCGAGAAACATCGGTGAGGCGTTTTACCTCGGCGGGGCGACTTGCCCCGGTCTACCCTACCACTACCGGCTGCTCTCATGGCTCTTATTTTCGCTTATCCCTGTGTGTAACTCCTTGCTAACTAGACGCTGTCAGTTTTTTTGCCCCCTCTGCAAACAAATAGAGACCATACATCGCTTATTTTTCACCGATCTGCGGTCCTGGCGACCCGTGACTCACGCTGCACACCGGGCGACTCTGCGCCTGACTCAGGGTCTGCTCCAGACCCGTGAGTCGGACGAGTCTGTGGCTGAGTCAGGACCGTGTCTGCCCGTCCATCGCTTGCCGCCGACGGGTTCGCATACGGCTGATACTCCGGGCAGCTTCGGGCAGGTCCGGGCAGCTTCGGGCAGGTCTGGACAGCTCCGCCGGCGGCTGATGGATCTACACTGAAAACAAATCTACTCATGAGGGGAGAGTAATTCATATTTGACTCGCCATTCATGAGTATATTTGGATGAGTAACTCATGCGTGGAGCGTTAACACTCAAGAGTAAAAGTTTACTCGTTTTGAAAACTCAATTGCCCAAATGCATGACCTTCTCCCTATGAGTTGCCTGACTCATGACGCACAAAACATTGGTATCAAAACTCCCTGTTGAGTCTCGCAAACTCATGTAAGGCGAGTAAGGAATGTACTCACGATCCGTGAGTTAGTGAAACTGAACGTTTGGGTTTAAGAACTCATGAAAAAAGAGGACAGGGATTCTTGCTAACTCATTGTTCGTGAGTAATGAGTTCAAAAACCAGTTTGAAATCATTAACTCTTCAAACGCAGCTTAAGGACCATTGATGCGCCGGTAAATATGATCAACCGTGAATTATCCATGAGCTGCTTTACACAAGCCTTACGCGTTAATATTACCGCCATGACGCCATCTTGCATGTTTGTGCCGGAAGTGCAGCACGGGACGCGGCGGACGCAGTGAATTGGAGGCTGGAGCGACTGGTGAGTGTTAGATGTTACGTATTTTACTGCCTGTAGGTATGTTTAAGTGCAAAATGCATATTTTCATTGAAAATGTACCTACATGTGCACTCACACAACACTACTGATACCTTGGGTTGTCCTGTGGGTTGGTTGACCTTCCTAGTCATGTATTGTCTATAACATGAAAGCCTTTTTGAGGGGTTCATAATATGCATCAAAATGTGGAATATCATATCAGTCATGCTCAACATGCCCCTACAGTGAAACCTAACCTGTTATTCTACGGGCAGCTTTGCCAGCGTGAAGCCTAACAGAATAATTAAACATCAAGTATTTTCTTTAAGCCTTTGCCTATAGCATCTAGTTCTGCCAGCCCCTAATGCTCAAACCCTGGTGCAAACATCTATAGGTTAGGATAGGTGGTATATGTGCAAATGAAGTTCGAGTGGTAGGCATGTGGAAGGTTGTATGTTGTAAGATGTAGGCTGGTAGATTGTAGGTACCTATTTACGTTGTAAGGTCTATAAGTTAGTAGGTTATAAGGTAAGGCTAGGTCAGCTTTTCATCATGTTTTCATCTTCCTCGTAGTTCATCTAGTATTTTTGTAATAAACGACTTGTAATTGAATCATTTGGCCGAATCCTTCTAAAAATGAGCACCCCAAGTGCTTTTAAAAGCCCACCCCTGCACCCCCCAAGAGTGAGATCTAGATACCAGGCATGGTCGAATTGATTCTATATGATGTGATGTTCTCATCTCCTCAGCTGGACGGTGCCATGGAGGCCACTTTCTCAGAGAGGCGACACCTCATCGTCAAGAGGAAAATCCCGATGGCCACCATCCGTCGTCGATGAAAACAAAGTATGTACATTGTCATAGATAACATGAATCATTGTACATGGTCTGATGCGTTGTAAATTAGCGATCCTATGCAGTCAGAGTCAGGTGGTTTGGTGCGTGCAACTGCAGACGCGCCTTCACCGGCTCTCAGAGTCAGTTTTCTTTCTGAAGCTCATCTTGAGTTATTTTGCACCCGCCCTCATGTGTATTTTGTTTCCCTTGCCTTTGTTACCGACAGACTAGGGCCAATATCCGAAAATGATTCGATCCACAGGATCCAAGAGCGCAGTTCTTCTATCTGATTATAAATTCATCAATACTTTTTGGAGACCATGCTGGTCCTTGATCCAACATGTTTCTTTTGTCGATGAATACCGGCGATCTTGAATCTTACATTTTTGCTCTGTGGATTGATTCTGGGGATCTTGTATCCTACATTTAGTCTCTGAGAACACATTTTTCTTGCTAAATTTCAAAATGCTTTGCATTAGCGAGGCGTACACGGTTGTTTAAGAAGTCTTTGTGCACAACCTGCTTCGCTGGCCCTAAAGTTCAAACTAAACGCTTAATTTTATGTCTACAGACATGACATTTACGTTGGATCCAGGAAATTTGAACTCTGGCATTTCGTTCTCGCGTGGGGTCCGGAATCCTAAAGTGTTATTTATACGTGCAATCCAGGGGATCTTGGATCCTAAAATTATATTATATTTTTCAATGAGACCAAGGAGATCCAGTATTCTGAAATCCTGGCATTGCATGGGATCTTGCGTATCTTGGATCTTGATTTTTGGCTGAGGCACAAGTCTGTACTTATACCGACAATGCATGCATAACCCCAAGGTCATGTCCGCCGCACGGTAGGGATTGCGAGAGTTACTAGTGCTACTGTAAAACAGATGTGCTTGTGTGACATCGCATTTGCATGACCACCGATAACGGAACTGGATTGGCAGTTAATTTTCAAACGCTGCAGTAAGAAGTAGAAGAATTTAAGCCGGCCATGCGAATATCGATGGCGTCTTACTGGTATAGTCGTCCTTCAGCATGCGTCATTAATCCTTTGTTTTCAGGTCTGGAAAGAGCTGAGTCGGATAAAAAATGCCGACTTGCAGGACACCGACGAGTTGGAACTCTCCCGGGAAGCCATGACCCCGATTGTGGCCAATGGCGAAGGTGAAAAAGCAGCTGGATGCCTCACAGATGGTAAGTTAACAACATTTTACCCGGGAATGTTGGAACCGTAACCGAATAGGTACCAAAAGCTCATGTATTTATGAACGTCCTGTTAACAGTTTGATATACTCGTATACACTTAGGACGGAAAGTATTTAAAAAAAGAGCAGAAAAATGTGAAATTTCATTCGTGCTTCTTATAAGAGATCATACATAGAAGTTCATCGTTATATCCTATGTAGTAAACTACAGTGGATACTCAATACCTATAGGCATTGAGTATGATTAACACATTTTTATCGTCAATTTCAAAATAATATATGCGAGCACTATTTACTCTAAACATATTTTAATGTTATGCTCACAAGCATCTTCTAACCCGCACCCCGCGGGAGTTCCTGGATTTCCAGGCCCTGCTGGGGGGGGGGGGGGGGGGGGAGGAAACGTTTGAACCCCTCTTTCAACTTAGCTCCTGGGCCATGTAGCGATACGGCGAAGGCGGCGTTCGAAAGGACGTCAAAAATAAGGAAGAAATTATTTCGGACACTTTTTTGGTCAGGTCAAAGGTCAGGTCACCAGAGGTCATTGAATACAAAAGTTCACCGATTTCCAGGTTAAATTTTGATAATTTTCAATTTTTGACAACATTAAAATTTTGATCAGATCAACGCATAGCTCGGAAACTAATAGAGCTACAAAACCACAGAAAAGCGCCTTTGATAGCCCATTAACGCTCTTTCTGATTAATTCTCTCAGATTTGACCTGCCGTCAGTGGTTTTGCATGCGGCGGAGGGGTAAAAACTGCCAAAATAGATATATTTTTTTCTGAAAGTTTTTCAGCAAAAACTTTTGACTTAAGCCTTTCACGTACTTTCTTTTACCGGAATCGTGTTTCTCTCGGCAAGACGCATTGAATAAACTATTATGTGACCTTGAAAGGTTAACTTAAAAATTTGACCTCAGTTCAAGGTCATGACCTGACCGATAAGGGTCAGGTTGCATATCAGTTGATCCGTTCGTCGAGATGAACACAACGAAGGTGTTTTCATCGTTCTTTGCCTCTATCAAAAGTTCTTCGCGAAAAACTGTCAGATACCATTCGTGACCTGAGATGTCATCAGGGGCATAAAACGGGGTCACGGGTGCCATTTTCATGTTAAGTGTGGTTGCACTAATTGCTTATATGCCTGCTTTACCATATTATCAGAGAGTATCATCGATGAAAACACTGAAATAAATTCATAAAATACAGATATTTGCTGTAAAAGAGACTAGGTGCAGATTTGGTCAAATTAGGTGCACTCGCCGGGTAGCCCGTCGCGAAAACGGCCAATATGACTTACGGCCAATATGACTTACGTCCAAAAGAGGCGCCTTTCGATTGTCTCCAATTTACTTACCTTTAACTGAGAGGTCGCAAAATTCACCTGACCTTAGGCCATCGACATCAAAATGCTAAGATATACATTTTGTACAAACTGTTGCTCTTATCAATCGCTGCAAGTTTCAAAGCAATCGGTCACTAGGGTGTAGCTATGGTAGGCTTTATAACTTTTTAAGTAGTGAGGTCACTTGGCTTGACCTGGCGACCTGACTTTAGGTGACCCGGAGCGCCGCCGTTTTTTGAGATATTCGCGAAAATCCACAGAAGGGGTGTTCAAACACCCTCCCCCTCCCCCAGGAAGACGTGGGTTAAAATTGCGAGAGGCATACTGTACCAAATTAAAGTTTGCAGTTCGTGGCCTTGATTTCTGAAGGTAAATTTTTCCGTCGCAGACGATGCGATCGACCATCTTCTCTGCACCGTGCTAAAGAGCACCAAGTTGTGTTCACATCGGCGCCGCAGCCACGGCCTCATGTGGCGGACGACTTCCACGCCATAGAGGGCGTGCCAGCAGTGCAGTTTAAGGAGCAAACGGCAAAGGTGAACAAGCTGCTGACGTGGGGGGCCGCGTTCACAGTGTTTGCGCAGTCGTTCAAACGCCCAGCCATCCGTCTGGCCGGCTACCTGATGTGTGCCGTGATCCTGAAGACCGATGTGTCGCCGCCCCCAAAGCAGTGGGCGGCGATGACCGGCTGCGCTTAGGAGTGCACGGGGAGTGACATGAGACAGCACTTTAGGGACTTTCTGTCTCTTTTTGTGTTTGTGTTTCTGCCGGGTAGTTTTGCAAAGAAATGGCGTTAACGCTTTTTCATGCGTGTAGGCCAAGTTCATGTCTGGAAGGGCATGAGCGTCGTGCTGTGTTCATCACCCTTGTTCATATGATCAATGATGTAATAGTCGTGGTTTATCTGCATGCTATGCATTGTTTTAATAAACCTTATGTTTTAATGTTATGACTCTCATCTCATGGGTGAGGCTGACCGCCAGGGGATGAGTCGACAGAGTGGAAAAACCGGCGGCAGAGCGATCTAATAGGTGTGTTCACTTGACCATCATGTTATGAGTTACATTTAACTCGCGTATCAATCGTTGCATGGCATGAGTTACTAGCAATGCTTGAATTCGTCACAAACGGTAAACTCATGTGGTATGAGTGAGGGAACGAGAGTTAACCCGCAACTCATTGGTGATGTGACCGCTACAGGGCTAGTAACATTTACTAGCGCCTCATGTAGTCAAACGTGTGGTGTCTTCATTAACGGTGTAATATGAGTAAGCCTATACTCGCATATCATGAGTAATCAAAATGAGTTACCAAGAGTACATGAGTTTTTCACAATCGGTTAACTCATAATACACGAGTGAAGAGACATGAGTTAACGCACAATTGAGAGGTGGAATGACCGGTGCAGGCCTAGTTACATTACCGGCGCCTCGATCAGTCAAATAGGTTGTTTAAAATTACCGCCGGTTCATGAGTTTACTCATCACCCATGGGTAATTTTGTTTTCAGTGTACTGGCTGTGAATAACGATGTCCCCCGCGCACCATTGTCCAGAAACTCGGACCGTCCAAACACAGACGACTCCACAAAGGCGCTCCGTGGGCGCACGGTGTGTTGTGCCGCCGCCTCCTGGCCGAGAGCCACTAACTTGTGACGCATGGTCCGGTCCCTATCGGCGGTCTCAGGTGACGTATGACGCGGTCCGGGGGCGCCGCGGGGCCGGCCGCGGCGTCCGGTCAGCCCGCTTTGGCAATCACAGCCACCATTTATTATGGTAATTAATGATAGCTGGCCATCGATGGGATCCTTCTGTGGAGCGGACGCGCCAGCAGGTACGGGAAGGAGCGCTACGATAATTGCATTCACTATTTGAAAATTGTATGCTAGCTGAAACGATGGAACATCGAACATCGAGAAATATGTGGTACAGCAAAATAACATATATAGAAAATGCAAAATTGTGCTTTATCTTTTATCAGTCTTGTTGCATGTATGTACCTAAGTGCCCGAACCAATTTCTTCGGAAAAGTATCTTTTGTACAATTTTATTATATTTAAAATGTTCCTAACTTCTTTGTGTTAAATTTTCTCTTTTTCCATTTGGGGAACACTTTTACCAATACTTGTTTTTTATTATTTCTGGTTCAATACCTAATGAACGGAAACCTTATGCAAGACACGGCCAAGTTAACTTAAACCTAAAGCGCACATTGCATGCATTCGTTTGTTTTAAATGTTGACCCGTGCTCGGCTTTGGTGCAGTCATCGAAACATTGCTAATGTTTTTATTATGCACACTGCAGCCAACAGCTAACCTCGGCAAAGTTCAAAGAGCCATTACCAATGTAGCATTCTATATCGGGCTCTCAGCACCTGCTGACACTGCAAAATGGCCGCAATTTAGATCTGTAATGGATTAAATCAGAACCGACGAGCTTCGAGGTTAGAATTCTGCCGGCAGTGCCCCCCCCCCCCCCTCCCTATATACCCAGCTGACCAGCCAGGCGTCGATGGAGAATCACCGTGAGCGATTTGTCGGTGGGTCGCGCCCTGACTGATTTTCGCCCATACGTCACTCGGCTTCACGTGCTGCCTCAATGACACGGAACATATGGGCTCCGACCGGCGGGGGCCACGCCGTCTGCTGAATACGGAAACATCGTGAGTAATTGAATTCACTATCCGCCGCGCATATATGGTGCACTTTATTTTATGAGTGCTCAACTGCGTTGTAAATGACCATACATTATTCGCTCGCATCAGCGTGCTGTCATTTATTCACGAGTGCAATTTTACGACTCGTTCTGCTGTGTGCCTGGTGTTTTAGGCGCCGGCAGAGGTCGGCTGAGTGGTGGGGCCGCCGTGTCTGTTCGCACCGCCGGCCGCGTGCTGACGACCCAGGATGTCACGCCGGGGGGGGGGGAGGCTCCTATCACCGAGACGGACCCCCGGCTCAGACGTGTGAGCCGCACGGGAATACGGCCGGCACAGGGTCACGCCGGCCACTTAGCCCGTCTTCGTACATCAAGCATAGTTCTATGAGCGTATGGTAAAGGTGAAGATAGAGAGAGAGAGAGAGAGAGAGAGAGAGAGAGAGAGAGAGAGAGAGAGAGAGAGAGAGAGAGAGAGGGAGAGAGAGAGAGAGAGAGAGAGAGAGAGAGTTTGGGGTTACGTGTTCATCACATATAGTAGCATCATTCAAAGCAATATTAAATTGAACGACTATGGTATAATAAAGACAATAAAATAATGAAAAAGATGAGCTTCTGTAGATTCTGGCTGGTGTAGCCAGTAGAAACACTGTAACATACAGATATCTCTTGTATTTCGCCACAAAATCGAGACATATATAGTTTTACATACGAACTTAGTTATCTAGTATTGCACACATGTGGCGAGAACATCGAATGTAATAAACGAATACATATGGTTTTCAATATACACATTGCCAATACAATTGTCCAAACAATACAGCAGTTTAAGCGAACGGAACGTTAAAAAGGGGGGCGCACAACTTAATCAAAGGCTTTAGCAATTTCGAGACTGGTAAAAGCGACATCTATTAGAAAAACTGAAACTCGCGGTTCACAGCATCTAGCGGTGACCGGTGGAAGTAAACGCGCCTAGCGGTGACCGGCGGTACACGCAGGGGCTACATCACTCCCCCGCCCTAGTTAAACACCATAAAAAGAAGTTTGGCGGCGAGTACGCGACGAACGGCGGAGAGGGGGTGGCGAAGCAGGCGGCGGGTCCGGCGGCACGCGGCGAGCCGGGCGAGAGCCGCCGGGGGCACCTGAGCGGCTGGGTGCAGGCGATGCAGCAGGCGGGCGGTCCACCGAGCTGTCTGTCGCTGTAGTAGGCGTGTCGTTCACCAGGACGTCCGGTGCTGCAGGCGGCGTTGCGGCAGGCATGTTGTCCGTGAAGGCCGGTTTACACCGAGCCAGGGTGACGGTGTCGCGTCGCCCGAGACGGTCGATGGTGGCGGTGTGCTGGTCGCGGGATAGGACACGATAAGGACCGTCATAGACGTATTGGAAAGGAGAGCGATGCGAATCGCGTCGGATGAAGACGTGGGAGCAGGTTTGCATGTCTTGAGAGATGAAGATTTGGCGGGAGCCAGGACGAGGAGGAGTTGGACGGAGCTCCGACATGGCGGCACGGAGACGAGAGGCTAGGGAAGCCGGATCAGAAGAAGTGTCCGACGACATGGGGGAAAGGAAGTCACCAGGAAGTCGGAGACTGCAACCATAGACTAGGTCTGCAGCGGTGCATCCGAGATCCTCCTTGAGGGCCGTGCGCACTCCGAGTAGCACCAGAGGAAGTCGGTCCGACCAGGAAGCGGCGTCGTCATCGGTCCGCAGAGCTGACTTCAGTTGGCGGTGGAAGCGCTCTACCATCCCGTTTGCTTCTGGGTGGTAGGCGCAGGTCCGGATCCGAGAGGTGCCGAGAAGCTTGGAGACTTCTGTCCAGAGGCGGGACTCGAACTGGGATCCTCTGTCGGTGGTGATGAGTTCGGGTACTCCGAAGCGGGCGATCCAGCCGCTGACGAGATGCCGAGCCACCGTGACGGCGTCCATGGTGGGCAGAGGAATTGCCTCGGGCCATCGGGTGAAGCGGTCGACGACAGTCAGGAGATAGGAGTTGCCATGGGACGGAGGAAGTGGTCCGACAAGGTCGATGTGGATGTGCAGGAAGCGAGAGTCAGGTGGCTGGAAGCTGCCCATGGGTGGCTTCGTGTGGCGCTGGATCTTGGCACGCTGGCAGTGCTGGCAGCTCCGGACGAAGGCACGGATGTCCGCGTTGATGTGGGGCCAGATGAACCTCGATGAGATGAGATGACGCGTAGCGTTGATGCCAGGATGAGACAAGTCGTGGAAGCTCTTGATGATGGAAGGGCGGAGTCTGGCTGGGACTACAGGTCTAGGTGTGGCCGTTGAGGTGTCGCACCAGAGACGAAGATGCGGATGATCAGGGACTGGGAAGTCACGGATGACCAGAGATGAGGATTGTTGCAGCTTCGGCAGGTCAGGATCGTTGGCTTGGTGTAGGGCGATGTCGGCCAAGCTCAGAAGGCCAGGTGAAGGTGTAGCTGCGGCAGAAGCTGGCGCAGACACTGAGCTGATCCGTGAGATGGCGTCAGCTACCGGGTTGAGGTGTCCAGGAACATGTCCGATCTTGCTGGTGTGCTGCAGAATCAGGTCCATGTGACGTTGTTCACGGAGAGAATGGTTGGCGTTGCCGTTGGCCTTGAGAGCAAAGACGAGCGGCTTGTGGTCCGTGAGGATCTCGAAGTCGCATCCTTCCAGATAGGGCAGGAAATGTCGCACGGCGAGGTACATGGCGAGTAATTCCCGTCCAAAGGTGCTGTAGCGGCGTTGGGTGGGCGTGAACTTGCGCGAGAAGAAGGCGAGAGGCTGAAGAGAACCACCAACTCGCTGGTGGAGCACGGCGCCGGCTGCTGTGCTGCTGGCGTCAGTGCTGAGGCTCAGAGCTGCATCTTTGACGGGATGAGCGAGCTGGGTGACGTCAGCGAGGGCGGCTTTGGCTGCAGAGAAGGCGGCGTCTGCCTCTGAGGTCCACGTGACTGAAGCAGCTCGGTCGTCTGAGGCAGTCAGGCCGTGGAGAGGAATCAGAAGGTTGCGTGTTCAAATCACGTCGGGGTCACCAATCTGGCTGGTGTAGCCAGTAGAAACACTGTAAC